CCATTGAATTTTAATTCTGTCTAATTTTCCTGTAAGTTCCCCTATTTCTTGCACTCACTTGAGAAGCCACTCCAATTCCACATATGTGGAAAAATAGAAACTTTCCAGAATGGTCTGAGAAAGATACTAGTCCTGGTCTCAAGAGTTCATCTTCTAGTTTGGGTGGGAGGCTGGATTTCCCTAGATGCTTCAAATGTGTATTCTTGTCCTTGAATCTCTTTGATGGGTTTATGTCCTGCCTCCCTTAAACACATAAAACGCCAAGTTCCATTCACTCTGTGTGCTCAGCAAGGGCTTCTGCCAGACTGACCCCCCAAAACACAGGCAGTTACAAGACAAACTTTTTAGTAACTAATCAGTTACAAGACAAACTTTTCCCCTCTCCTCCTTGCCTTCCTGTCTTGCTGTCCTCCCTCCCTTACTCTCTAAGGAGGAAGGGAGAACTTTACTAGACCTGTACCGACAACAAACACAGGTTGCTTTGGGGCCTTCTCCTATCAGATTAGCCACCTGACCCATCCCCTTAAGGCTATCCTCAGAGCTTTCCACCGCTGGTTTTGAGGCTGCCTTTATTGTATGGTGTATTTTTAGTTATTCATTAATTTGTTAATCACAACATTTTTACATATGTGTCATAAAGGAGTATACATCCATTTTTGCCCTTCCCAGGCCTAATACATTAATTTATTCATTTAGTCATTCATGAAATATTGCTGATTTCCTATTTGTATAAGGTCCTGCTACAAGCTGGGAAGATAAAGACTAGGGCAGTGATTCTTGGCCTTGGTGATCCTCATAGTCACCTGAGAATCTTAAAAAATTACAGATGCCTGGGCTCCACTCCCCAGGGATTCTGATTTAATTATCCTGGGGCAGAGCCCGAGCATCAGTGATTTTTTTTTAAAGCTCTCTGGGTGATTCTACAGTGCAGCGAGGATTGAGAGCCATGAGAAAACAAAAGCAGAAATAGCTTGGACAAAAATTAAACGGCATGAATTTCCTAAAAGATCCAGAGAGAGAGAGAGTACTGTGGGAGCCCACGCCCTTCGCCTGCACAAAACGGAGGACCCTTCAACCTCTGCTCAGTTCCGCAACACTTAAGCCACAGCTCAGGTGGGAGATGCGTCACATCTGTCACAAGCTGAGCAAAGAGAGGGTGACAGTATAGTTAAGTTTTTCTCAGCGGAACAATAGCAATACCCCGTTTCTCTAGTGAAAGTGCACAGTGATATGAGAAATGTTCAGCGAGAGCCCACCCAAGCTCAGAGGTCAGAACACTTTGCAAGAGATGATTTAGAAGCAAGACCGTACACCTCTGATATTCTTATGGCTGGATGAGGGCAACAGTTTACACATCCGGGGACATCGCTGCAGTACTATAGAAGTGACAGACTGTTTGTCGAGATCAGAGTAAGGGGAAAGGAAAAAGCTTAGGACATCCCCGTGGTCGGAGCATCTTTGAGATCCTAAGATATGATGTGGAGTTAAAAGCATGAGAAGGCTGCAAACTTGGCCCCTTCACATTCCCCCAGGCACTAAGAAATCCTGTCTGGCCCTTTTCTGCTCCATCACAGGGAGGCCTGCCCTCTCCATCCTTCAGTGCACAGGCTTAAGGCTAGATTGGACTATGTGGAGAGACTGCTGAGAATGAGCCTTTCCTCCCACGGAAACTGGCTACTGATTGATGCCCAAGTGGATGCTTTGTGCTGTGGGGTTAAGGCTCATTGCTTCTTTTTCTCCGCAGAAAATTCCCTTCTAGTGTTAGCATAGTGAGAAAATACTATAGTAAGTGGAGAAAGCCTGGGGCAAGGAGCAGATGTCAGCGAAAGCTGCATCTTCCTGTTTCTCCAGAAGGGGGACCCTACGACAAGCGCTAGGGCGAGAGGCAGCCGGGATGATTATGCAACGCTCAGGGCGCATGCTCCGGTCCGGTAACTACCCAGCCCGCGCGCGGATGCTGACGCAGGCCTGAGTCGGGGATGAGGCACATCTGGGGGGCCCAGTGGCCCATTTCCCCAAAGGGGAGGACGGACTCTTATTAGGATTCTGCATCCTTCCCGTGAAACCCTGGAAACGGCTCAGTAGTTAGTTCTTCTGGTTGACTTGCTGCTGCGTACAGCTGTCAGCTGCCTGTGAACCGGGTAAAGCTAGCTCAGTGCTCCTGTTTGCTTTTCAAGAGGGGCTGTCCTGATTTTTTCCCTTTTTTTCCTTCCTTCTTTTTTTTTTTAGGCTAAATAATAATAGTTATTATAGGCACCCTTTCCCGAGCAGTTCCTATATGCCTTCGCTGAGCTAGGTGCTTGATGTGCGTAGTGTATCTTTTTCTATCCGCGTTTTCTGTCCTCCCATCATGCAGCTAGTGGTACCACCAGCGCCTTACATCAGACCTTGCTGCGGTGTTAAATACAGCTTGTTTTTCAAAGGGAGAGAGGGAGGTAGAGAGGAAATCAACTTCTCTCCAAATTTACTGGATTTATCAACAAAGACCTTGAGTTTAGCAAACGAACAGGAAATTAAATATCGCCTGATTTTCTTCTTTTGAAATCAATTATATCTTGCTGCTATTTGACCATTTAAGGTGTGTGTGTGTGTGTGTGTGTGTGTGTGTGTGTGTGTGTGTGGTTTTGTTTAAAATTTCCGTCAAATATGTTGGTGGTCTTTTTTGATACCATATTCTAAAGATAGATAGATACTTGTTAAAAGGGAGAGAAAGAGTAGTACGGATTTTTTATGATAGGTAATAGGGCTGCTTTTTAAACCCCTTTTCTTTCTTAATTATGTCATAAGGGAAATCATTAAATTATTTTTTAAAAAATAAGAAAGAGGTCAAAACCCAGCTTACTTCATTGAAGGCATGTTGACTAGAAAACGTGGAATATAGAAATCTGGGGAAAAAAAGAAGATACAATTCACCCTTACTTCTTTTACCTAGTGATAATTGTTATTTAATTCAGTGTATAAACTGATGACCTTTTTTCTGATGTTACATATGCTAGGCTGCAAAGTGTTACAATATTATACATACTGATTAAAAATCTATTGTTTTCCTCATTTAATATATTGTGATAATTTTTAATGCTTGCATAAGGATCTCTTATGTGTCATATAACTGTAGCGTAATATATTCAGTAAGTAACATAAGGATGAACATTAAAGCTATTTCCATTTTCCTTTTCCACAATGGTAAACATCACTGGCATAATAATTTTTATATACATTTCTATTTCCTTAGGAAAAGCCTTAGAAGAGAAATTGAAGATCAACGGATATTTTAAAGTACTCAGAGTGTGTTTGCAAATGCCCTTCTAGAAGCATTGTGCCAATTTGTATTTTCACGAACAATTATGAGCCAACACTGGTATAATTCCTTTTTGTATTCTTTGCCAATTTTATGCATTACAAGTAATATTTCATTGTTCTAATTTGTATTCCTCTGCCATTTTCTTTTGAATTTCTCAAATTTCCTTCCCAACGGGCTTAGATTCTAATGTAAGCAACAAAGGATAAGAGTGTGTAGCAGCCAAAGAAACAAGACATGCAGTGGGAGACAATGGCATTTAAGACATTTGAGATTTGATGAAACAATAACCCTTGAATAGACGGATGCTTTTATAGACACAGGACCCTTACTGGGAAAGATTCACAACCAAGTAAATTAGAAAGGGACTGTGCATGGGGATCCAGGTTGGAATGATTCTAAATTTGGTTATTTAACTTTAATAACTAAAAGACTCACCGTGGTCAGAAAGATTAAACAGGAGAATTCTGGTGATTTTTGTTTCCAAGATAGCATAATATAAGGCAAGATTTTAGCATGAGGGAAAGAGATGACCGTTGAGAAGTCTTTCTTCACCTCATGATTCAAACTCCATAACTGGTGTGTGCTTACAGGTGTGCACATGTCATCTCGTGGTGTGCATATGTGCATAGCTGGGTGTGCATGTCTGCAGATGTCACCCCTCCTTATTTTAACTGAGTGTGAGACAAGAGTTTGTGGTAGGAAAGAAACCATTAGAAGATAGCTCTGCTTTGGGGAAGCAAGTCAATTTGCTGAACCACTAATTTACTGAAAAACAATTTGCCAAATACCCAATTTGCAAAATTTGGGGGATGTTTAAAAAGTTTTAGTTTCATCCACACCAGCCCTCTGCTTTCCCTCGGCCTGTCTCAAAGGTTTGCCTAGTCTGTTTTTTTTAGAGAGGTAGGTCAAGTTCAGAGGGAAGGGCAAGGAGAGGTAGAGGTAGGGGCAGGAACTAAGCTAAAACTTATAAACAAACCCCCCTCATGAGTCAAAAATTGGTTGCTCATGAAGTGAATTTTAGGGAATTGGCTTTCAACAGATTGGCCCAGAGCCCCGCTTTGGCACCTTCTTCTAGAACTACAGAGGGTGCCAAAAAATGTATACACATTTTAAGAAAGGATACCTGTATTAAAATTGTAATACTCAATAGATACTGATAATAAAAGATGAATACAAGTCATGTTTGACTTCTGCAATTACAAGAGGTGCTCAAAGTGGTTACCATCAGCATCCAGACACTTCTGATTATGGGGAACTACTGCTTGAGCACTGTTGACCAAAGTGTTCACTTGTATACATTTTTTTGGCACCCCCAGCATCTTTCTTTCCTTTTCCAACCCTTCCTCACCTAAGGTTGTACGTCACCTAGACCTTGAGATTGCACTAATCATAAGTGTAATCCTACCACTTGCTTCAGGACATAAAGATTGAATTAAATGCTTATATGGAATCTTAGAGAACCTTTCACAGTCCACAAGATCATGATCTGTAAACAGCTTCCGTTACCTATTCCAACCTGCTGTCCAGCCTTAGTGAGCCCCGTTGTTGGATAGAGAGCACCCCCATTTCTCACCCTGATGATCTTTTTCCAAAGCCCTTTATAGCCCTGCTAATCAGCCTTCTGCTCCCCATCACCAAAATAAATAAATAGACACATACATACATACATACATACATACATACATACATACATACATACTAGTCACTGCTGCCTCCAGTTGTTTCTGCCCCTGGGGTGAATTACTAGATGTTGGATCCATGGCTCGACAGAGACCTTTGAAAGCTTGGAGATTAGCGAGAAGGACAGGGGCCTCTCAGTAATCTGGCCTGTGGAGGAGAGACAAAGGGATGAGCAGACATTTTGCACTGGGATTAGTTTCCTCAGTTTTCTCATGAATTTTCATAAAAGTACATCTTCTCAGCCAACTTACATTTTAAAAGCCCTCTTCTACTATCATAGCCTTGATATATGCTAGACTGCAAGGAGAATTAAGGTGATGGGGATGGTGAGAAGGGTAAGCTCAAGATAAAAGCTGTCCCTACCACACACTGGGTCATAGCAAATATTGGTTAAGCTCACATTATTTGCAGCACACCATTATGGTCTCTGTATGGGAAATGCAACTTTGTTACAGTTTCAGGGTATAGGGGCATAAAAATGTACTTATAAAAACTTCAATACAAGGTGTTATGTGCTACATGGTAAGGAATCAGAATAGTCATAAACTTGGCTGGGACTCCAAGGATGTTGGCAGAGTGGCATAAGAAGCAAAAATCTGAGCCAAGTGCTGAAATGACTAAGAAAGATGGAAGAGCTAGAAGACAGTGTCAAGGGCGCATTAACATATGGCCTGAAGTTTAAAAGAAGAGATATAATTGAGTAATGGATGCAGAACACTTTCATCTATCACGTTGGAAATCTAGCAGGTGACTATTTAAAGCCAACTGTATAGAATTCTAGAGCTAGGAATAATTTATCTGCTGTGGACCAAGCATGAAAATACATTAAATATGTAGCCTTTTGAAGAATCTTATTGCCACATTTACAGATATAGGTAGATATTTAGGAATTGTGAATTGAGGCAGAGCATAACATAATAAATGGGTAGGAAACCATTCGTGTTTCTTTTTTTTATCCTCATTCTGCCCAACAGAAGGAACAATTTCACGCTTAACAAAAGGCAGCGTCACCCCTGATCTATGAACCATTTTATTTCATATACAACTTACTGTTATAACTTTGTCTACTGCTTGTTTGGGAAAAGGCCTTTCATATCTCACTCACTGCCGAGCAATCCAATTTTCTTGTAATATCCATCTGGTGTTTATATCCATCTCTTGAAATGTAGGGGCTATTAGAATTAGATTACAAATATTCCATGTAGAATGGAGCTGAGATGCATGTAACTCACAGAGAGACAGAGAGGCAGAAGCTATGCTCTGAGGTCCTGGATGGTGGTGACCTTCAGCCTGACATTCAGCAGGGCCCCGGACCCACTCCGATGCAGACTCTGTGGTTAGTTTCTCTCTGGAATCACCAGAATAGCTGGATGGATTATACTGTGTCATTTCAGAACACCCACCTCAACCCTTATTCCGTTATTTATTGACAATAGAACTTCTTTTTTAGAGAGGAATAAATGTTTTTATTCTGATTAGAAATAAAGCTTGAAGGAAAGTGGTTGGGAATGCTGACATTTCTCTAAGCTCACACTTGGCTCTACAAGGTGGGCATCAGAACTGTCCAAGGGGGCCGGCCGAGTGGCGCGTTGTTTCAAAGCTGGCTTGGGACGCCAGAGGGCCCCGGTTCGGATCCCACACATAAGGGCCAGTGACACTGCCCTCTACAGCTAAGATGCTGAACAACAGCTCGACCTGGGCCTGGGCAGCTGTGAGTCGCCGGTGACAGCATAGTGCAACCCCTGCTGCAGTGGGTTGCCATGGGCTACCATATGTAGCCAGCAGCCAGTGTGAACGGCCAGCAGCCACTGTGAGCGGCCGTCCAGAAGCCGGCGACTGATCTGCCTCGCCCGGGAAGAGCGCAATGATGGTGCCAACTTGGGCCAGTGAAGCAACGTCCTCCACAACTAGACTGAAGAACAAAACGACAGCAACTTGTCTGTTCCCCTTTCCCCAATTCCCCAGCACTGTTCCCCTTCCCCCAATTCCCCCATAAAAAAAAATCTTAAAAAAAAAACAAAAAAGAACTGTCCAAGAACAGGTTTCCATGCAGGAAAAACAGCTCAAGGGCAGATGCCGTGGGCAGCACATGGGAGGAGGGAGGACAGGCTGGAGGTCCCCATGCCCTCCGGGCACTGGGCACTGGGCACTGGGACCAGGACCTGGCTGGCCTCCTTCACTCTCTACTGTCTATGTCCAAGTATATAACACTTTCTAGGAATTCGGTATACACAAGTATACTAAGGCCCAAACTACTGAAACTCTAATTATTTAGCATTAATAATTTGAGTCTTAAAGTTTTTAGTTTGTGAAGAACTATATCAGTTTGTATCTGAAAATCAAGTGTTTTTCTTTCAAGTCAGGTACTAATGCTGCCCATGTACCTGCCAGCCCTCCATCAAGAGTGACGTGTTGAAACAAGAAGTATCATCCCATTATAGAATGACGGCATCATCTGGTAGGAAGGGAGCTTCAAGGTCACCTGGTGCAGCCTCCAAGCTGATACAAGAATTCTCCTTACAACCTGCCTATCAGGGAGCCTTCCAGTCTCTGCATATTCATCCTGACCCAGGATGTCTAAAACCTAGAGAAAAGCCATTGTGCTGATCAATAGCCTCAATTGTAAAAAAAGTTTTTGTTATTTTGAGTCAAAATCTATACCTTTGTATAACTTTGGTTTGATAGGTTCCCCTCTAGTGACCCAGATAACGATGCGCCTCCTCTGACATCAGAGCCTTTGTCTAAAAGTCAGCCATAAAATACAGCATTGGATTAAGTTTCCAGAGTGCCAAATTTGCTCCTTAGTTCTGCTGCAAATCAAATTGTGACCTGTACTTAAATTCAATTAGCCTTTTCCTAAGGATTTCTTTTCTTTTTTTTTTCTTGATGGTGAGTTTCTTTTTAAAAATCTGCATCTTTACATTTCAAGTGGAAATTTTTTTTTAGCAAATTAAAATACAGTATTTTATTTTAAATTGGGAGGTATGGTTAACTCTTACTTTTTATTATGGAAAATTTCAAACGTATAAAAGAGTTGGTGTAATGGAATAATGAATGTCCCTTGTAGTCAACAGCCAGCTGCAAAATGTCAACTTATGATAAATCTTATTTCATCTTTATCCTCACTTAGTTTCCCTCATTTCTAGATCTGTTTTAAAACAAATACCAGATACCTTACAAAATCATTCATTGTGATTTACAGTTTCTCTAAACTATAAGGACTCTGACTGTAACAACGCAATACCACTATTTCTCTCCAAATTAAAAACTATTCCTAAATATCTTAAACTATACAGGCAGTGCTCACATTTCTCCAACATACGCTCTCTCTATCTGCTTGTTTGAATCAGGATGCAAATAAGGGCCTACCATGACAATTAGTTCTAAGTCTCCTTTAATCTATAGGCACCCCCAGCTATCTCATTCTTTTTTCCTTACAATTTTATTTGTTAAAAACTAAGTTAAATGTAATTAGCGTACAATGGATAACTTTGTGAATTTGTGCTGGGGTTTTTTTGTTGGTTTTTTTTTTTTCATTTGCACCAGTGTATCTTTGCATTCATGTCATTTAAGTGGAACTTATGGATCAAAGGATAATGAATATGTAATTTCTCAAAATATTGTCAAATATTACAATATTGTCTCCACTTTGCATTCCCACCATCCCTGACAGGCATTAAACTGATGACGCTGGAGGTTGCTAAAGCTATAAAATTATAGAATAAGTATTTGGTGAGATCTCCCATGTTTCTATGCATCTTCTCTTTTCCAGGCTGAACTTATTCTGCTTCTTGCACATTTGATAAATATATCTTCTATGTCTGCAGCCATTAATAAGATTCTTAAAGAGGAGTAGATTAAGACACCTTGACAAGTACCAGAACACTTCCTTCCAGGCTGACATTGGCTGAGCATGTTGAATTTATCTAAATGCCCATCTGTCATCTCTCCATCCCGCTATTATGAGATTGTATCCAGTGAGAATAAAATTAAAATAAGCTCGTTGTCTATGTATTTCCCCTAAAAGACAGTGCAGTATACTAGTTAAGGTAGTAACCACTGAACTCAGATTCCTTGAGCTTGTATCTTGTCTTCATCACTTAATAACTGTGTTCCATTGGTACAGTTATTTAAACCTCTGTGCCTCCATTTCACCATTTACTATGTGGAGATTTTAATAGTACCTGTTGTGATGATTATAAAAGACAATACACATAAAGCATTTTAAACAGCACCCCAATGGTAGTAAGTCTTCTAAAAATGTTGGTTCTTAAATGAAAGCTACTAATCTGATAATAAAGTCCCCAAAATTAAAGTCATTTGGCAATAATTATTCTTATTGAATGTGTCTTGTCTCCTATAAATCACAATTTCCTTCCCGAAATACTTTCAAGGTGACTAGAATTATTTTTTTAAGGTTTTTTCCTGGGATTTACACACACTTATCGCTAGTCCCTGAAATCCATCGATAGTCTCTGGAAATTTTACCAGTTAGTATTAGGTTCAGCTGCATAACAGATACTCCAAAGTAACATAATCATATAGGAGTGTTTTTTTAGTTTTTAGGGGTTTTCTCTCTGAAATAAAAGATGTCTGGAGGTAGACAGTTCAGAGTTGAGTATGATGGTTCCATGGATTCATCAAGAATCCAGGTTTCAATCTTTATTTTTCACTGTTTTCAGCATATAACTGCTGTCCTGTGGACTATGGTGTAGTCTAAGATGGCTTTATTACAGGATGGCAGTAGTCGGAGCAGCAAAGAGACAAAAGGGCTATTCTTCCCAGAGAAGTCATTTCAAGTCAACCATGAAGTTACGTTAACACCTGCTCTTATATGTAATTGACCAGGGTATAATCACATGGCTGTAACAAACGATACGAGGAAAAGAAGACTAGTTATTGGGGTAAGCAACTAAATGTCTCTTCCACAACATTTTTGCATCTTTTGACACCTTGCTTATTCTCCATGTCTCATGATAAATTACCAATAGAGATGCTGGGGTTACATGAGCAACTTACTATAAGAACCTGGGACAACATTTCTCCAAACTGTAGAACCTAGGCGACCCTAGCATTATAGTGGGTGCTGGAGTTATGAAAATGAATAAAATAGGGCCATGCTGTCATCTTTTTAGAAACACTACACTGTATGGGTCTGTAAAAATCCATTCTTCTTTATGCACTGAATCTTTTTTGGGGGGGGGGTTCAAAATCCTTCTCCTGCTGCACTAGTTTCTTAAACTGCTTTATTATGAAGCTATTTCAAGATTGTATTACTAGAATATTCCTTATGAGCTGTCTTTACTTTTTAAAACCTCCAGTTAATCTGTGGATTGTGTTAATCCGCTGCATTTCCCTCCTAGTTTATTACAAACACTAAGCCGACATGCTTACTTTCTCCCCACGTTCTTTACTATTTCACTTCACCTCACATTTCTTCCCAGTTGCTCAGACCTACCTCCACAATAGTAATTTTCTCCATTTTTCTACCTTTTGAAAGGCAAGCCTAGTGACAAAGTAAGTTAAGGATTTCTCAGAAGACCTGCATTGATCAGAAAGAATCTTTCTGCCAATATTCAGATGATAGAAATTTAAAATTCAGCTTTGACCATGATTCGTTACACTGTCTGCACACACAAAAAACGGGAAAAAACCACCACTGTGTGCATGGGGTTAAAAAAAAATCAGACCAAATGATTGTTATGCAATAATGTATTAATAATAGATGGTATAATGAACCAAAAAAATGAGCTTAGCAAAACTCCCAGGTACTTTTCATAAAATAATTTCCATGGTCTGCTTTACCTATGAAGAATGGGACACCATGTCCCACAGTTACTGGGGGTGGAGAGGTGGCACAGATCTAAGGACTGGAACAGGGACTCTGTGCTTGGCTCTCCACCTCGCCAAACTCCTTGCCCTTTCCCCCATTAGAGTATTTATGTGTCTGTGGGAAGGAGCCCGAGAGCCTTATTATGCTCCACGGACAGAATTCCCATGACCCTGAGCTCTCCCCAGCAAGCACGCACGGGAGCCCCATGACAGCTGTAGATGTTCAGCTCCTGGGAAGACTGGCTGAGTTTCTGTTTTGCATTTGAATGGCGGAGTAGGAGTGCACATAGCAAACTGTATGGGAACTAGTTGCTGTGTTTCCTGGCTACTTTATCTAGTGATACAGTCCTGAGGTTCACCAGGGAATGAAATTGATCTTGAGGTCCAAGCTTGGCACAAGTCACAATCAACATATGGGCGAGAGATCACACAGCTACAAAAGGGAAACCTGGCGGCTCGCTTCTCACGCCAAATCCGGTGCTCTTCCACATAGCAGGGTTTGGCACCGACTTAGGCTGTCATCAGGCCCTGCAAGGAGTTGTAGCATATGCCCTTAAGATTTCTGAGTATGAATTTATGTGTTAAACTAAATGACATAGGACAGGTCATGGAGAGCACAGCAGAACTGTAGCTGGAGTTTCATAAGGACTCTGGATTGGATATCAGAAATACGAGACTGCAACACCCCCAGAGGAAGGATCATTAGGGCATTTGTATTAAGTGGCATTGCTGACATGTGCCAGAAATGCTGCTAACAGCCCTTGGCATGAGGAAGATAATGGGGGTGAAACGGATCCATTCAATGGGAAGCCAAAATAATCACGCTCTTATTAGATTTCCTTTGTAACTTTATCTTGAATGCATTTCTCTTCCCACTAGCCAACATGGCATTTGTAGAGGTGTATTACTCACACATAGCTTTCTGTGAACACTCAAACTGGACCACCCAAAAGAAGTGTCTTTTGTGAAATCCAGGGAGCACCACCATAAAAACACTCTATCTCCGGGGTTGCAAGGAGACCTATTCCCCCACAAACTATGCACCTTACAGAAGGGTCCTTTCTGTCATCTCTAGTTGAGAACAGTTGCCTCTAAAATGTACCATGTGGAAAAGGAGTTAGATTTTTTTTTTTGAATAATGTTATTTATTACTTTTTATTGAAGCATGTAATTGATACACAACAGTTGATTTGTTTTAAGCCCCAAACGGAGCCAGTGCAAAATTAATAATGAAAATAATAAAATAGGTATGTATGTAATGACAATCACTGGCAGACTATTTCAAGATCAGAAGTAATCTTCATACGTGTTATTATTTCTATAACTGCACTTAAATCATTACCAGGTACCATTTGTTTTGTAGTCAGCTTTGAATATGTGACCATATAGGGTCGAAAATAAGGTAGTCCTTCAAAAGTTAAGGGGAATAAATGTGCAAGAAATTAGTTAGCTTACCTAAATGTGCATTAAATGGCACTCTTTTGTCAGTGAAATGGAGACACGGGCTCAGAATAATTGGAAAAAACTTATTAAGTTGAAAAAATAATTTTAAGTACATTATATTTTCATTTAAAATTGGGCACTCATTAATTAATTAGTTAATTAACTGAGGCTGCTCCTTGGAGATTCACAGTTCCTTCTTTCACTTTTTCCAAGGTATTCTTCCCATGCCTGTGTATTTTAGCATAGCATCCACCAAGATATTTAAAGTCCACGAGCACTTTAACGTATTGAATGAGAGAACCTCAGAACAGAAAATATCTACAGACTACTTGAATTCATGATATTCATGTATAGCCAGGATGAGTCACCATTTTCAGCTTGTGGTTTATATAAGCAAGATCCCAGCACTTTTTATGTTATGATCCCCCTCAACTGATTTTTGAGTTCCCCACGATATTTTATTAGAAAAGTACCCAGCAGCATTTTATTCAGGTTCCCTCTTACCAATGTATCCAGAAACACTCCGGGCTTACTCATCCCAAAGTGTGCACTCTGTACAAGAATGACAGGTGGTGGGCTGGAGACAGGGAAAACTAGAAAGTCTGGTCAATGACTTAGCAATGCCACCACCAGGCACCATGGCTGGAGACTGGATCTGTATAATGTGCACCAGTGCCCTCTGCCCACATGCAAAGGCTTTCTGGTATACCAGACTAACCGGTGTGATCTACCCTATCCCTTTTCAGGAGTTTCTCCTTTGGAAACTTGATGTCTGTTCTTACCAACAGATCTTTTGGTCATTCAGGATACAAGTTATCAAAGTCCAAATATCAAAGTTCAGTCCCCAGTTCCCTGCTTACCTGAAGCCTCAGGGATTCTTATGCAAACGGATGCAGCCTGCAGCCGTGACTGGAGATCCTGGTCTGTTCTCCCAGGTCAATAAATGTCTCTCCAACCTACATGGGCACAACCAAAAGGGGCTTCAGGTCACCCAGGGCAGGAATGTCAGTCCCAAGGTGATTCAACACAGAAGAGTGCTTATAAAAGGATTCTACCCCACTCAACACATAGTAACACCTGGCATCCCCTTGCTTTGCACAAATTCTAAAAGTCAAGGGTGAAAATATCCCTGGGTCATGTCTGCTCTAACCTTTGGTTTTTTTGGGGTTTTTTTTTTTGTTTTTTAATATTTATTTATTTATTTGTTTGTTTGTTTATTATTTTATTTTTTTTGTAACCTTGGCCAAATCACTGAATTTCTCTGTAGGAATAGACTAGGAATTTTCAAACATCTCTGTTGAATAGATCAGAACTTTTAAAACCTTTTTTTAACCTCAGAGTCTTTTTTTTTTCTTTACCCAAAGTCTTACAAATATGAACTTTTAGCATGATATTCTCGGGTGTTTCTGAACCATAATTTTCTTTTCTAAAGCTAAATTTCAGCACATAACTCTGAATTCCTAATTTGCCTTATATAGAAAACTTAATTCAACTGATTCCTTTTAAATCTAATAAGATTTGGTAACTTCTCAGTCTCTTTGAGTTGAAAATTCAGACATATTCAAGACCACTTCCCTTTTTCTACTTCCTCTTCTGGAGAGGAACATGGTAAAATTCGACATGGTAAAACTGAAGGCAGCCTTTCAAGAAGGGAGGGAGGATAGTTTATAGTTTCACATTTGTATCCCAGTTCTGGCAAATGTTGCAGGATTTGTTCATAGGGTCAACTTCCCCTCTGGACACACAAGGTCATGCTTAGCTTACTCTTCTCTGTTTATTGACCCATCTACTCTTTTCCACCTCCTTTGTTGCCACTTCTAATGTTTTTTCTGAGAGACTCAGAACCCAGGTCTTCATTCCCCATAAGAAGTGGGGTGATGGTTAATTTTATGTGTCAACTTGACTGACCATGAGGTGCCCAGATTAAACATTATTTCTGAGTATGTCTTTAAGGGTATTTCTGGATGGGCTTAGCATTTGAATTGGTGGACTCAGTTAATTAGATTGCCCTCCCCAATGTGAGTTGGCATCAAGCAACCTGTTGAGGGCCTGATAGAACAAAAAGCAAAGAAGGAAGAATTTGACCTTTCTTTTTTTCCTGCCTCACTGCTGAAACTGGAACATCTCATCTTCTCTGTTCCTTGGACTGGGGGTCATACCATTGGATTCCCTGGTTTGCGAGGCCTATGGACTCAGGCTCGGACTGACTTACACCATTGGCCTTCCTAGGTCTCAGCCTCCATAATCATGGGAGCCACATTCTCATAATAAATAAATCTCCATACATGTAATATATATAATATATACATATATGTCTCACATAAAAAATATATATATAATATATAAATCTGTATATATGGAGATTAACATATACACATACATAATTATTATATAATATATTATATTCATATTATAATAATTATTAAAATCATAATAATTATTATATATTATATATGTGTGAATATATTATATTATATACAGCATGTATATTTTATAGATATAGATATAGATATATAGATATATATACACACACAGAACCAGCAAGATATATATTAACATATTATATAGCTTGCTGGTTCTCTTTCTCTAGAGAACCCTGACTAATAAGGTGGATTAAGACTAAAGAGAGACCTAGCCCTTCACTAATCCATTCTCCATAGGACCTTGGCAATTCACCTGACCTCTCTGAGCTTTAGTTTCCTCATTGGTAAAACTAAGAAGTTAGATGATCTCAAAGCATCCCCACTTCTGAAATTCTATGACCTGTGAATTCTGAATGCTCAGGTTCTTGGATTCTCCCAAGTCCTTTAGAGCCATCCCTATAACTCCTCTCCGGTAAATATTAGCACAACCATAGCCATTAGTATTTCTGCAATTTGCATTCAGTTCAAGTGGCCCAAGCACAATAGGCTTGCTGTCACTTATTGTAACCTATTACAGTGCACTCTGGACAGAAAGGCTTTGCCTTCCGCTCTATAATCAACATGAGGTGTTTCAGAGTCAAGGAGAAAGAACCTGGATTCGAGAATGGAAGTGCATTGGAAGCCAGCCAAGCAAGATTTGGATGCTAGCTCCAGCTCTGATATAGACTCTCCAAGTGCCCTTGCTTTAGTCACTCTTCTGTGCCTCATTCTTACCACCTGTAAACTGGACATAACAATACCTCACTACCTGTGTCATAGGATTGTTGTGAAGCACTAAATTCCGGAAGCTGACCAGACCAGACCTACATTCACTTAGTCACCTGCCACCAGACACCATAGCCGTAAAGTCACCCTAGACCAGAAAGCCCCTTATTCTGGTTAGGGAAGTTTGACATCACTGAATAGCTAGAAATCTCATTATTATTCTAGCTTATATTTGTAGCTTAATCCTTTTACTACCTTGAAACATACTCTCTAGCATCCATTTGACATATATGTATATACAGAGGGTGTCAAAAAATGTATACGTATTTTAAGAAAGAAAAATAACTTAAAATTATGCTGATGGTGACCACTTGGAGCACCTCTTGTAATTGCAGAAGTCAAATCTGACTTGTTTTCATCTTTTTTTATTGGTATATATTGAGTATTACAGTTTTAATACAGTTTTTTCCTTTCCTAAAATGTGTATACATTGTTTTGGCACCCTCTGTATATATCACCTAACACATAGGAAAAAATGTAAACTTGCCATTTTTATGCTTACAGTAGTCACTTTTAGAATCTTCACACTTTGTTTATGCTGCTTGTTCCTCTTTGAAGGCCTTTTTCTTCAATGCATAATTATCCAGCAAAATCCCCACATTTTTGTGGATAACAAGTGAATGTTTTGAGCTCCCATGTTTACATATCTCTGATAGTGGTTTCCACACCTACTTTTATTGTGGTTATTTTTGAGGGTGATGTTTTTCTACTACATGTATGCCCCTGGAGGTCACCAGACTATGTCATGTATGTTTTTACACAGTCCCAAAGCAGCTAGCCTACAACACTTCACATATAGGACTCAATAAATATTCAATACATAATTGATAAAGAATTCATAAAAACAGACCCAAGAGCCCAGAAATCATTCCTTGGCTGTGTAACTTGCTAGGTTTTGGCTTGCTCTTTGGTTGAGGCAGGTCAGAGGGTGTTTTCAGATTTGCGTAACATGGGAGTTGTTATGTACCTGATATCATTAAACCCATAGCCCCATCTGCCCCAGAATCCGTCCCATTTCTGAACATGTCTGTTGGGCTGAAAGCAAGCCTTCATAATAGGACTAGACATTTTAATAGACCTTTGGGAAATAAAAGCACTTCTTGAAGGTTATTTTTTTTCCTGAATAAAAGCAGTCTATGCATAGAACAGCTAGAAAATGTGTAGTAATTAGAAAAAAATTATTCTGTTCCCTTGAACTCATAATACTGATAAGTGACATTTATTGAATTTTTATCCTATGCCACATCATCAGATACTTAATCTCATTTAAACTTCACAACGACTGTGTTGCAGGGATCACTACTATCTTAATGTTACACATGAGGAACCTATAAGTTGCTCAGGGTGACACAATTAACAAGTGATGGAATAGATAAGGTGGCCACTAGAGCTCTCAACCTGGACATAAACATTTGAGGAATTTCAAAAGTAAAGATGGTTTCCCTATTCTGGGGCTCTTAACCTTTGGTTTCCAAGATATAAATGGGTAGGAGTTTTCATGGTCACTGTGCAACCTCTATTCAGTTAGCCTTGAACACAGGTCTCTCTCTCTGTCTCTCTCTGTCTCCCCCCCCCCCCCCCCCCCCCCCCCCCCGCCACACACACACACACACACACACACCCAACAGTTTTCTTTTGGGAAAAAATAAAATTGAAAATGAACTTGGTTTTCCCATTTGTCATCAGTTGTCGCCTGAGGAGCTTTCCCAATGCTCAGGAAAAACAGGCCCCTAGGATGTTTCACCAGGGATTTTATGCGCATGAGCCAGGAGTCAGCAGCAGTCACAACCCAAGCAGCTGTTGTCAGGCTGCTCTGCCCAGTGGGGAGCAGGGGCTCCTGGCTTTCCAGTCTTGCTCTGCCAAATGCTTGAGGTACAAGGCCCTTCATACCACTTCTACCTGTGAGGACAGGTGCCCAAAAGTCCATTGGTAAAGCCTCCCACCTAACTAGGGAAGCTGAGAGGCCACTCCAGTCAATCCAGGTGCTGGAGAGCAGTGAGGAAGGGCTGCAGTGGAGGAGGGGACATGGGGGGGGGGCTCCATATTACAGGGAGCGAGGCCCTTCTCCTCAATGTGGCGCACTTTCTATTAAAAGGAACTGCAGGCCGTGAATTCCTATCGATGGAAACGACATACGCACGGCACAGAAAACAAAACGAGCTGTTGAGTCTTCCACAAAAGGACCTCATTGTGACTGAGTGATCTTTAAGCCATCACGCCATGAAAACCTGCTCCCGTCTTGTTCCATCACATAATCCAGCCCCAATGAGCTGGAAGTTGAATGCAGCGTGCCTATTCACTAGACAGCTCAGGAAGATCACTTACATTACAATTGATTTTTCTTTTTACCATTACCTGACAGCTCCATCTGTTACTTAACCATTAAAGGTACAGATTTTTGAGCATTTCATGGGCATTGGCAGCAGTGGGCATTTTCCTGTTGATGCTGCTCTTCAGCATTTTTTTTCTCACTCCAGTTCCTAGGCAGATATCTCTCCCTAAATAACACAGGCGAGGCACACGGTATTGATCGGACTGCAGCATAGAACCCTCCTGAAATGCTGAAAGCTGATGACCGCATCACTGTACTGTACAGTAAAATTTAGGATGGCCTTAGCAAAAGGAGTCAGTCAAGAGTTTCATAAGAGAAGAAATTATAAAAAAGAGTGTTCTTCAGATTTTTCTCTTGCTATAACCCAGTCAGGTCATATTTTATTGGTGTTCATTACTAAGGTAGAGAGTGATAAGTGTGGAAACCATGGAAACAT